GGCGCGAGGATGTTTAACATGTGCGCGAAGGAGCAGGAAAGCCGTATGTGTGTGACACCCGCGAGAAATGACTCGCATTTTTCCTTTTTTTTTTTGACCCACTTTGCTTTGTCGTCAGCAACGTGGCTCCTGTCGCGGCTCCATCTCGTGTCTCCTGCATCCCATCTTCCATGTCCTATCTCCCAACTGTGTCCTGTGTCCTGTGTCCTGTCTCCAGTCTCCAGACTCGCATCCCAGTTCCCACTTACCGGGCATGTGTCACTCGGCAAGCGTTTAAATTGGGCTTCTCCCCGGCCACAAACTACATATACATATATGGTATATATGCCAGTATGTCGGGTTCGCCTTGTTTTGTCGGTCGCCTTTGTGCCATATTTTCACAAATTGAATTGGCCATGTCAGAAATGAAAGGATGCAGCTATGAAAATTTTTGCATTCAAATTTTTCAACCAAAATTATTTTAGCAAAAGTTTGCCGTACATGGGGCAAAAGCAGTAGGTCAGGATCTACAGTTGAACATCGATAGCCCGAAATTCTTAAAATATTTGTTACTAGATAAAAATTAAAGGTTTCAGAATGTACGTTTCAATGGTATTGATATTTTATACTGTCAATTTTATCATCTTCAATATTAATTGAATATATGTTAGTAAAGCCAAAAGATGGTCTTATTATACAGCATTTTTTTATTTTACTAGCAAAAGACAGTTAAAGCTATAAAAGGCCGACTGTATTTTTGTAGTATCCAGTCCCCGATTCGCACCCCTCAACTTGGACCGTAATAAAGTTATTATGCATTCGGAGCAAGGCGAACCCGACTAGACAGAACCACTTTCCCATCTCATACATTTGAGTTTGTGGGACAGACCACTTCTGGACTGGAGTGGGCTAAAAATCTGACGTCGCCCCGACAACCCGACACATGGCACTTGAGCAAATTTGCATAATAGAAATTAAAATGGATTTTAACATTTCTGTTTTAGATTATGTTCAGTGGCTGCACGGAGATGGTCAGAGGGTCAGAAATACCAGCTGCGAAAACCTTGGAAACAGATTGTTTTTTTTTTTCTTGTGGTATAAATATGGTCAGGCAGATAATGCTCGTGGGGAATTTAGCAGTTTTTCATAAGGCCAACAAGAAGAAAATCGTACAATTACACAAGCTCAAACATTGTATACCGGAAATTCGGATGAATATGTGAAAGTATACTAAATGAATGTTTCCATTATTAAAAAACTGTAAAATACGAATAAAATTTGATAAAATAAAAAACTTAAAACAAATAGAATACAGTTTAACTCGCTTTAATTTAATATATTTTAACGTTACAATTCACTAAGTAAAGTTGATCAGATCTGTTTTTGCGTAAAGATAACTTTTGAATATTATTTTCAGAATTAAAGCCAGTTTAAAGTTTCTCATGAATTTATTGAAATTTAAATGGTAAGTATATAAACAGGAAAAGATAATTTGCTCTTGGCAACATTATCTGAATTCATTTGCAAAGCATTTACCACATAAGCTAGGAATTATTCAAAAACTAAAAACTTGGCGCTCTTTAAACGTTTTTCTGCACTACCTCGTCATTTATACGGCTCCTTTGGTGATGACCTACTGCTCGAACCTGCTCCACTGCTCCACTCCTAGCGGAATTGGGTCTCATTTGCGTAGGCCAGAAAACTTTCCTCGCCGCCATCGCAGATCCCAAATGGTTTGCCCCACTTTCGCTGGCGTGCCGAAGCATAAAATGGCGTTAAAGCAACTTTTAAATAATGCAAGAGGACACACACAGAAATTCTAGCTTAAATGCTTTGATTTGGATTCGCATCCGAGCAAGGAAGCCAAAAATGCTTGCTAGCCCGTAAAATGCTGCAGCCAATGCCACCGCATTGGGGGTAAAATGGGTGTATAAATGGGCATTGGGTCAAAGGCCACAGCGGGTGGACTGTGCTCACTGGCAAACATATTTGCTTAAACTTTAACATGTTGTCCTTTAGTATTTTTAGCAATATTTGCTGCTGCAGTTCTTGGCCTTGTAACATTTTGTGGCCAAATATTTTCAGCGCTTGGACACAAGCCAGCAAAAATGAGCAAGGAGAAAAATGAGAGCGGAAGGGTTACAAAAAATATGTGGAATAAATAAGCTCTTAAATTGTTTTTTCATACATATGTGTGGCTAAGAAGGGTTTTTTGGCGTTGAAAACCACTTATGAAAACAGTTTACCAACCATTTTGTAAAGTCAGTTATGTGCAGAGGAAATTGGGCTCTAAAATTCAATGTTTTTGCAAGTACGCGTGAAATAAAATTTTATAAATTAATAGCAAAACCTGAGGGAAAGTAAAACAAAAAAAATGTACAGTTTACAAATCCTGGTTTTTCACCGAAACCTTTTAAATTTCTGTGTAATAAAGTTTACGAACTTATTCTGTTAAAAAATAGGTTGTCGCGTTGTTTGTTAAATAGCTGACAAAGATTTTCAACCTGCAATAACTTGGGCAAAATAGAATTTTTCTATTCTCTAAGTTTAAATGGGCTGTAAAAATAAGTCAAGACTGAAAATGGAAGAAATATAATTAAAAGTTGTCGTTTGCAAATCCTAAATAATAATAAAAATATTTTTATTTAACTCTTATCACTTATTTTATTAAAATATTAAAAAAAAACTATGCAAAAAATTTAAAAATTATAAAGATTGCAAACTATTATTTATTAAAATATAAGTAGGTCACAGAGAAAAATGTTCATAAAGTCGTTTAGAGAACCTCCAAGACATAACTGAGGACGAACTGAGGATGTGGAAAATTGGAGGAAGTCCTTGTCCGGCAAAGACAGGACTTTTGGTCTTTTTTTGCAACCACTTTAAACCGCTTATTGAGCAATGTTGCTGCCATTGCTCTGGATGTTGCTGCTTTGGCCCCTGATGTTGCTGCTGTGATTTTTGCCGGACATGTGGCACTGCTGCTTGTTGGGGACTCAGCCACTGAAGGAGCTTTTGCATTCGATGGCTTATCCTCCATTGAATCGATCTCTTGCTTTCTGCTCCTGCACACAAGTCCATTATTACAGCTGAGTGGGCGTGGACCGCAGCGGCAGCTGGAAAGTGTGTTTAACCTTGAACTTCAAAGGACCGGCCCGAACTGCCTGAGCTCAGCCTCCTTTGGCCACATTTTTCTGTATTTTCACTCGCTTTTCACAGGCAATTTCAGGCCGTAAATTAGTTTTATGTTGCTCGATTTTGCTTTTATTAAATTACCTTTTTCATGATTACTTGCAAACTTCATTTGGAAAAATGCCTGCCGACGGAAATAGCCAACGAGGTCGACGCTGTCCCGCAATAATTTGCGCCATTTTGTAATTTCAGTTGGCTCCTTGGTCCTTGGAGATGCTTCTCCGTCGCTTCGGCTTCCGCTGTTTTGGGTCGAAGACCTAATAAAGTTGCCGCAGAAACCATCGAGACTCCAACTTTCACCTTCCCGCTCTCCGCGAAATCCGTAGCCCCTACAGGTTAATTATCTTTGGTGTAATTTAGTGGCCTGGCTGCCGAAAAAGGCTTTCCATTTTAATTTATTTGACCAGTGAAAGGATTAGATTAGATTCCCTGATAAATGGCCGTCAACACGCTAGTTAAATAGTAAAACTGTTCGCTCAATTCAGACCGCTAATTGGGTTTGTTCAAGCCTCGGAAAGACGCGGATCCTTTGCTAAAAAAAAAACAAAGTTGCTAGGGACCTGATTACCATATTTTGAGCAGGTAAAGTTTAAGGCTGCCACCGTTTTGTGAGAGCTCCTTCGAATGAAATTGTTTAATGAAGGCAAAACCCCAGCAACTATATTTTTTTAGTTCTTGTGTAATTAAAAAAACTAATGAAATAAAAAAACAAGTCAAATAAAATTTTTTTTTTAATTGTTTTTGTTAATTGGCAATAATTTGAATTTTTTTCTATTATAAAATGGATTTTAGAAGAGCGTTTTTATGCAAGAGCCTGAACAGACGACTTGGAAAATATAATGATATTTAAGTAATACATATATATTGACGCAATGAGGATTTTTAATTAGTTCTTTTGTAGATACAAAGCACAATAGTGAAGTTTGGCAATAAAAACGTTGTTTTCTAATAGTGCTTTGCTGTTGTTATTCAGTTATCAATGCACGATATTACATTTGTTTTGGTTATTACTTACCTTTTATCAGTTTGCTTCCAATGACCTTCTTTTGTGTAGATTGGGGTCAACGACTAGAAGTTGAGCAAGACAATAATTAGCTACCTACTTACAGAATAATATTTGTGTAAAATATATTTGAATTTTAAAGTCAAAGTCGCACTACATTCGATATATTTGATTCAATAAGAGACTATCCAATCAACTGATACCCAAGCTCGGAAAATTTCACTTTCTCCATAAATTATGAGGTTTGATAAAACAGAACCAGTTTGGTTTTTCTACCAGTTAACCGTTAATTAAAAAGGGTATATTGTATTTGTGCACGAGTATGCTACAGGTGCAAAGCGTTTATCTGTTATAAAATGTTTGCTAAATCTCTTGTAAGGATGTACGGTTCGATTCGCAACGAAGTAGTTTTAAGTTATTTTAACATGTACAACTGTGTGCCAGCTTGTTTCAAAATCGATACGTCAGTAACAATAAATGTTATAGATTCTGCAGTTATTTTTTGATTTCAATTTTAAAATTTTATTGGCAGGTATAGACTGTTTTAAACATATCTGTAAACATTTTCGTTTTTTGTAAATTTGGTAAATACCTCTTTTTCCGAATGGGTCGGTATTTTATAGTCGAGGAACTCGTTCTTTCTTGTTTCTCTTAATACTGTTTTCTTTGCCGTTGTGCGGCAAGTTAGAATGAATGCATCGTGTTAAAGATATGTTTGGCAGGTGTTACAGCCACTTCTCTATCTGCTCTATTATCAAAGTAGGCCATCAGGTAGGTTACAGAAATTTTCTATGCTGGGCAGCCCTATAAAAACGGAATGCTGTATTGTCGTTACCAACAGTAAGCTTTCATCTCTTCACCAAAAATCAACCTTTAAAAATGTACCTTCTCGCGGTGTTCTTGTTGTTGGTTGGCACAAATGTCTGCCTGATTGAAGGAAATCTAGGCGGCGGCGGCGGAGAAGGAAACGATTATACATATGGGACACAAGCAACAACGGATACTCTTATTGCAAGTGAGACTGTATCGAAACCCAAAAGTCTCCTGCAAACGACGACGAAAACCTATACGTTAACACAGGCAGGAACTGCAAAAACAATAAGCTACATTAGAATCACGGATCTAAAGAAAGCCCGAGGTGCCACTGCCGAAATCACATCTGGAGGAGTGGGTGCTACGACAGTCACAATCAAATTTACTTCGGCTCGGGGAGCTGGTATTAAGTCCCAAGTAGTGATATATGGCGCTTAAAATAATAATGATTTTAAAACAAGTTTTTTCTTAATATAAAACGATTTAGCGTTCATCTGCTTCACATTTATAAAGTAAAATATTTGTAACCTTTTAATTATCCTTAAATGGGCAAAATAAAATTAATTTAATTTATTTGTTATTTGTTTATTGTATATACATAAGTGGAGCTAACAGAAGTTTGTTGGTTAGCCTTAAACTTTTGGTATAAAAGTTATGGATTTTGTTGATTCTCTACAAAAATATTTCAAAATCAAATTTCCAACAAGTTGCTAAAATCACTTGTTCTTTGTTAAAAACCCAAAAAGGCGCTTGTCGGATTTGTTTAAGCGTTAGCAAAACTGAATTCAGACGATTCACAAGTAAATAATATTAAGACACGAGTGGATATATCTTTACATACATACATACATATGGCAGTATAAATCAACTGCGGCACATCCATTCCACCGAAATGCGAAATCCGACTGCTGACAAGTGTCACCCAGAGATGCTATGACAAAGTGTCAAAAGAATGTTTGACATCTGACTGGCTCTATCCGTCTCTTTCGCTCCGCTCGCCCTCTCTCTGTCGCACTCGCTGTGAGGGCAGCGTGTGTAGCCTGTCCAAATGTACATTTCTCATATCTGCTGGTTCTTCTTTTCCCTTTTTCTGCAGGGCTTTCATATTGCCGCTTTTTCTGCTGCTGCCGCTTTTTCTTATACTTATCCATACATATGTATTGCCTGGTTCCAATGGGATATGGGATGCGGGATGCCCAGGTAGGGATACACGCTCACAGGTGGCGAGGCATGGAGTAGGGTATATGGGTGAGGGGGGAGCCAGTCCCTCTGACAGCCTCACACGTTTTTGCCCGTCCCTCCGGCGATCCTTTTAGCACCTGCCCCAGTCCCTGGGTGTATAATTTCATCTGCCAACTGATTGAGTGTCGCAGTTTTACTTGTGTAAAAATAAAAAAAAGATTTTTATCTAGAATTCGGCGATAGAAAGGGAATCTTTACATATGGAATACCAAATGAAACTCAGACAGTGCTTGACGTATCGACAAGTTCAAAAGAAATCTTCGCGTTGAGGGCCCATAAAGATGAACTGGAATAAAATCTTGCATAAAATTGTTCTCACGAATCTCAGCATTCATGACCAATGGGCACACCCTCATGTTACACATGATGATATTTTATTAAAGAAATTTAACTTTTTTATTTTGTAATTTTTTTTAAAATCATTTTTGACTTATTGATAATTTGACAGTTCAGAATTACGCTTTTAATTCTAATAAAATCGGAAAACGATATCATATAGCTGAGATGCAAATCATCATAGGTTAATGCTTTTAAACATATACGCAAGTAAATCATAACTTTAAAGTCTTCAAGAATATTTATTTTTTGAAATAGCTGCAAGGGTACTTGAACTTCGGATTACCGAAGTTAGCTTCCTTTCTTGTATTCTAAAAATGTTTTTCGTTTTTTTTATCTTACTTGAACAAATGCCAAAAATGTAGGCTTTTAGACCAGAATACCCTCTTAATGTTTATACCCTTGCAGAGGGTATTATAATTTCAGTCAGAAGTTTGCAACGCAGTGAAGGAGACATCTCCGACCCTATAAAGTATATATATTCTTGATCAGCATCACTAGGCGAGTCGATCTAGCCATGTCCGTCTGTCCGTCTGTCCGTCCGTCTGTCCGTCTGTCCGTCTGTCCGTCCGTTTATATGCAAACTAGTCTCTCAGTTTTAAAGCTATCTGCATGAAACTTTCCCAAAAGTTGTCTTTCTATTGCAGGTAGTATATAAGTCGGAACGAGCCGGATCGGACGACTATAGCATATAGCTCCCATAGGAACAATCGGAAAAATAAATGAAAAAAATTATAACTTTGCTGTTTTTTAATTTTTTGTTTAGTTCTTCGACATTTAGTAATGGTTAAATATTTCCGATTTACGGTTTAAATTTCATCAAAATCGGACGACTATAGCATATAGCTCCCATAGGAACAATCGGAAAAATAAATGAAAAAAATTATAACTTTGCTGTTTTTTAATTTTTTGTTTAGTTCTTCGACATATAGCAATGGTTAAATATTTCAGAATTATGGTTTAAATTTCATCAAAATCGGACGACTATAGCATATAGCTCCCATAGGAACAATCGGAAAAATAAATGAAAAAAAATTATTACTTTTCTGTTTTTTAATTTTTTGTTTAGTTCTTCGACATTTAGTAATGGTTAAATATTTTCGATTTACGGTTTAAATTTCATCAAAGTCGGACGACTATATCATATAGGTCCCATAGGAACAATCGCAGAAATAAATGAAAAAAAATTATAACTTTTCTGTTTTTTAATTTTTTGTTTAGTTCTTCGACATATGGCAATGTTTAATTATTTCAGAATTATGGTTTAAATTTTATCAAAATCGGACGTCTATATCATATAGCTCCCATAGAACTAATAAAAATATATAAAATAACTATCTAATAATTGAGCTGCAAATCATCATAGCTTCACTGTTTTTCATATACTCAAGTAAATCATAATTTAAATGTTTTCAAAAGTATTTAATTCATGCAATAGCTGCAAGGGTATATGAACTTCGGCTTGCCGAAGTTTGCTTTCTTTCTTGTTTTTTCATATTTCTACTTAATTTAATTTAAAATCTAAAGAGCAAATAGCTTTGATATGTATTTTTTTCAATACGACGTTTAAATACAATTTTTATTGGTTAAGTAATTCTTTTTAAATAAATCCAGCTTAAGTTTCCTTTTATTCCTTTCTATTCCCCCTTTTTGCCGCTCTAATTCTTTGTTGATTTGAGGATGCCTGTGCATAATTTTTAATTGGATCGCAAAAAACAAGAAGAAGGACGACGAAGCTGCCAGCAAACGGATGTTGTAACTTGAAACTAATCGGAGTTGTGTGGGAGATTTGCATATTTCGCACGCACTTTATTCCTTGATATTGCAGTACAGTGCGTTGGACAAAGGTCAAATCCAAACCACTGCAGGGTGGATTCGTACTCGCAAGTGGGTCAGTGGAGTGTTTGAGTCCAGATTCCACTGGCAAGTCGACCATTTCCCCAAAGCCCCGGCACCAGAGTGAAAGGGTGCCCCAAGATGTGGCCAAGACTTGGTCCGTTTGCCACCCAATTCGCCCTCGTTGTGGAAAGTAAGTTAGAGTTAACAGTGAGAGAGAAGGAGCGAGAGCCTGATTCACTCTCACTTGTGGATCGCAAGCTAACAGGGCGGGAGAGCCGCAGGACTACCCCTCACGCATGTGGAAGGCATTTTAACAGCACAATTTTACCGGGCATTTCTGTGTACAGAGCCCAACTTGTTGACTGTGCAAATGGAAACCCTGCAAATATTTGCCCAAAAATGATGTATGTTGTATCTGTCGGCAAAGCCTATATGCAAATGAATAAGACTTCTCTAAAATAGCCAACGTCAGCGGTTGACCATAAATATTCTCTGGCCTAATATCTCTAAGGGACTTGAGCGTCTGTCGAAATACATTCACCGGAAAAAGGGACTGTTTGCATGGGTCCTAGAATTAGATTAACTACTGGGGTAGGATAAAGATTGGGGAAATGCCAATCCCCAAAAGGCCAGACTCCCACACAAAAAAATTTAATAAAATAAATTTCTGCACAGAACCACTTGCATAATTAACTGAATTTTGTTTGCTGGCCCGACCGCCTTTGTGGATTGCCTCCTCTGCTCCGATTGAGGTGGTAATCCTACATTTTTTTGATAACTAAAAATACCGACAAAACCAAACAAAGCAACCCAAAGTGGGAAAGTTGACAGCATTGCTAAAAAAAATATTACTCTGCATTTAATCTTTTTGTAGCCAGTGGCAAAAAGGGTGAGAAATAATAGCTCTTTGGAGACTTTCATATTATCCTACGCATTTTCCAGCATGTCTGGAAAGCAAGAGAGTGAACGTCCCTCGCCGGAAATGAATGCCTGCAAGGTGATTATAAAGAGGTTATTTGCTAGCTCCTATAGGAGTATAGCTTGGGTTTTCTACGAACCACTGGATGCCCAGTTTTTGGGCCTACACGATTACCACGAGATTGTCAAGGAACCAATGGATCTGTCCACCGTACGACATCGCCTTAATACGGGTTGCTATCAGACAGCCGCCGACTTTGCCAAGGAGGTGAGACTGATTTTCTACAACACCTATTTATACACGAATCCTGGCCACTTGTGCTACGAAATGGCCAAAAAGCTGCAGCTCATCTTCGAGGAGATGTACGCCCAGGTTCAGCTATACGCATCCCAGGGCAAAGGACAGAATGCCGACGAGAAGAGCTCGTCAAGTTCTTCGAGTTCTTCGAGCACATCAAGCTCTTCGAGTTCTTCAGAAGATTCGGACGCAGTTGAGAGGAAAACAGAGCCGAGCAGCTCGGAGGCTTCCTCCTCGATTTGCGAGTGGACTCCGCCTACTTCAAGGAAGGGGGAACCCTTTACGGCCGAAGAGGATCTCGATCTGCACGCCAAGATCCAGCAGCTGGATGGCGAGGTGCTGCTGCACGTGATCCACTTGGTCCAACGGATGGAAGGGGCCGAGTATGGTAACAAGGAGCTCGAGTTCGACGTCTGCCAACTGAAGGTGCACACCAAGCGCTCCATCATCAACTACTTGGTCAGCAAAGGGTTCACGGGAAAAAGAGTGGCTCGCACCAAACCCAAATACAATGAGTCTTAAATCCGGAAATGTTTTATTTACTTAATCAATCTTGCTTTTTGCCCAAACGACTCTCCTGTTCCTTTCGCTTTTCCCGCATGGCACGGTAATTGCGATACTCGCCGTTCCACACCTTTGCCCGCATGATCTGCTGCGGATTGGAGGCAATGTAGGCGAAGAAGGTCCTGCGAGGAGGTCCTCCGGGCACCAGATAATTTCCCATGGCTTGCCAAGCGGAGCTCACGATGCCCAGGTAACGTGCGTTCAACAAATCATGGTAGGTCTGCTTCACGATGAAAGCCTGTGGAAAAATATGTTTTCAATTGCTCAGATAGATTTGTGTCTGTTTTGTATTGGCATATTCATTTGATAGGAAATATTAAAATTAAATCAATTTAATGTATGAAAGATACTGTTGTAGCTGTCCAGAAAACTATCTTGTTTGTGAACGTTCCAGATTAAAAACCATTTACAAAGTTCCAGATCAAAGTCCTTTACTTCAATCAAAAACCTTTGAAACATTTGAAAATTATGAAATCTATTAAAATATTTTGAAAATTTAATACTGAATATTCAAAATCCTTATTGAAACGGAAAATTAAAGCTTAAATTTGATTGTCTTAAGGTTGGAGTCAATTATATATAAATGTTTCCTAGTATCTTTAATTTCTTATTGAAAAATTATAAAATTTGTAAGTTTAAAGCCTAATTGTAGCCTTTTATATCTGCGAATGGTCCTACGACTTTCTAATATTTTGGATGAATGGTTTTACGAAATAGCTCACCTTATTCTTGATCTTCTTGTAGTTGGCAAAGTTCTCTTCGGACCTGCGCAACCGATCGATGCCCATGAGATCGGGATCGGGGGGACTGCTCTGCAGCACGGTGACCAGCTCGAATATCCTGTTCGACTCGGCTATGCTGTCCTCAAGCTCCTTTTGGCTGTAGGTCTTGCCGTACCGCCTCTTGATCCACTCCCTTAGGATGGGCAGCTTGTGGGCCTCCGGTAAACTGGCCAGGACGTAGCGCGGTTCCCTCCTGAGGGCCCGGAGTCCGTCCTTCAGCAGCTGGTTCATCTGTTCCGCGTTGTCGGGATCGATCTTCTCGGTGTCCTGGTACGTGAGCGCCATTCGCGGTGTCAGCCGCCCCACGCGTTCCATCTCGGCCCGCTTGATGGTGGCCTGCTTATGCCAAATGGCATTGGCACATCGCACCACCGCCTCCACGATCTCCGCCTTGTGATCCACATGGCTGCGACGACTGTGGTTACTCGAGCGACCCAGGGTCTCCGCACTGTCGGTGGTGGTCTGATCCGGATCAATCAGATCCAGTTCATCGAACATATTGGGCGGTGTCTGGGGTTTCACTTTCGCTGCGACTTCTGGTGCACCTTCTGGTTTTACCTCCATGGGCAACTCCTCTTCAATACTTATCTCCGACATTAGGCAATCGAAATCACAATCGTCACCGGCTACCGCTACCTCTTCATCGGACTTATCCAGCGCTTTCACCAGCGTCTTGGTCACGATCTTCTCCAGGTCAAAGGGTTGCGGCTGACCGGATTGGAAGACGCGGGGGTACTTGAACTGATATGGTTTGTTCACCCGCGGTCCGCGGAAAAACTTCTTTTTGTACCGCTTGCTCGACACTCGCGTGGCACACTGATGGCCTTGCGTTGGGATTTTTCCTTTGGCCAAGAGAAACGATACGGCCGTTCTTTTTGGGGCCGGAGGTACCTCGCACTCCGAGGCACTGAGTACCGTCCTACATTTCTCCAATTTCTCATCGAAGTCGATGCTATGCATGCGGAAGCCACCGCTAAAAAGTTTGCGAGGTGGTGGTTTCCAGGGCGACACCTTCGGCTCTTTTTTCGGCGGTTCCGGTGGCACTTCCACCGCTTCCTTCTTTTTCCCCTTTTTCCCCTTTTTCTCCTTTTTGTTCTTCTTCTGTGAAAATAGAGTTAAGATGTTTTTTTTTTTTTAAACAGTAATTAGTTTTGGCCGATGAATTGTTTAAAGTTTTTAACGATTTTAATTGCAGATGAAAAACAGGAAGTGTTAAAAACAATGGAATAGTAATAAATATATATCTGACTATTAAAGATTTTTTATTTAATACAATGCATTCTAAATTGAATGATTTATATATTAAATCAAAACATATTTTGAATCATATAATTATTATTTTTGTTAAATATGGTTAAAAATTTATATCAAATTTGTAGATATTATAATCAATTAAAAAAATGAAAATATTTTTAAAAATTGTAAAATACTTATTTATAATAAACGAAAATCAAAGACAAAAATATTTGAGTTCAGTAAAAACTATTTGGACTTACTACAATATTTTTAAGTGTATTAAATATTTATTATTCAGCTATTAATTTACATAAAAGCTTCGATTTAAGAGGCGCCACCTGCCGAACTGCAGGATCAACCTTACAAGCAAAGAGAAAGCATCATTCCCACACAATGCTAACTGTACTTCAGCTCTCTCAAATAAAAAAACTCAATTTTTCAAATATACAGTAACTTTAAAATTATAATTTTCCTAGTTACTTTAAAAATAATGATTCGATTTGGACAATTTTTAGTGTTTCGATAGATATTGACACATCAAGCACATCAAAAACAGACCTTGTCTCAGAGTGCAATAACAGAATTTTGATAATTAAGGGCAAATTATTAAATGAACTTGCGCTACATACGCATTGATATAATATGTTTAATATAATATAATATGCCTTAACCTAAATATTAACCAAATCGAATTCAAATTTCTTTTTCCCAAGTCTCTGGGTTCCGAGACCTCGACTTTTAGACGATCGGACTGGCGGTCAGATAAACAAACAGTCGATACTTAACTCATCTATAAATTCTGATCAATAATTGTATATATTTAAATGTTTTAGGGTTTTCAACAATGTTTTCAACAAATAACAACAGAAAGGAATTTTCAACTCACCGGTTTGCCTCCGCCGCCCTCTAGCCTCTTTCCGCGGTAGGTATCTGTGGCAGCCGTATGGGCCATGCCGCATTCCTCGCCCACCAGAGCTCGACCCACCTGGTCCATGGGTTCTGGCCAGGGCTGCGATACCAACATCTTCTGGCAGAGCACGCAATCAAAGTTCTCAATGGTCAGCACTTTGGTCTGGTCGCAGTGCATCGCATTGCGATGGCGTGCCATTACTACGTCGATGTCGTGCTCCAACTGGGCCAAGATTCTGGCCCGGCGTATTTTGCCGTACGGCTCAGTGACATCGAGCAGCTCCAGGCAGCGATCCCTCGCTTTGACCGCCAGTTCGTCCCTCAAAAGCTGGGTCTGCACCACTTGACCCTTGTGTATCAGGCACATATTCGGCTCGGGCTCCCGACTCTTTGGCCGTTCATCATCCTCCTGTCTTTTCTCTAATCCTTCTAATTTGAAATACCGTTCCAGTGTCTCGGAGAGGGTTTTCTTGATCAAACGCTGGCCGGGATTAAGTTGGTACTGGGCATACCAAGGTTCCGCTTCATCCTTGCCGTAGTTGGGTGGGGCGTTGTTGGGCCAGAAGTTGAAAGACACGACAAAATCAGGGAGCTTGGTGGTCAGCCGGGAGGTTCTTTGCACGGGTCTTGGTTGACTTTGGAAATACGGTAATTTCTTGGAGGGTTTTTTCTTTGCTCGGTACTCCGCTGCTGGAGCATTCGCCGCTTGAACTTGGTTTTCACCCTTACTAGGCTTATGGGGCGGAAGTATGGCGTCTAGACCTCTGATTGTGGCCATCATGTCGATCTTGGCTATGGCGTTCATCAACAACTGCTCATTAATGCTGTATTCACCATCCTTTTGGCAAGTCTTGTAGTAGCCCTCCAGCACAAAGTAGAGGAAGGCCAGTATATTGTTCCTGCTCAACTGCACTATCCGACTGATCTTCTTTTTGGATATCACCGGTTGGATGCCCAGGTTAACCAGGGACTTGAACATCTGCTCGCCGGTTCCCTGCTCGAAGTCATCGCGAAGGCTTTCCGACATAGCATACATCGCGGCCTCCTGTTGCGTCGACACTCCCATATACCACTTGGCATAGTCCAGCTTCTGGTTAAAGTCATCCAACTGCTTTTGAAAACTCATGACGACTTCAATCTCTTTTAAAATTTCGTACTCTTAATTTTAATATAAATAAAAAGTGTGTTGTATAAATCACAATGTGGGTGGAATAAAAACTAGCTATTAATGAAAGGTTACATTTAAAAGCTTAAGTCAGTGTTACCCATGATTAGGTATTGAAAATGATGTATTTAATTTAATTTGAGGAACTAATCCTGATGTTATGTTCTCATATTTACGCAAATTTAAATCTACCTTTAAATTATTAAACAAATATTTTGAAAAACAATATAATTTTCTGGATAGAAAAATCTGGTTTCTTAAATATAATTATTTTCTATATTTAGCTGTAAGCTCTCAGCATGCCCTGGAATTAACAATTCCACCTAAAAAACAATTTCGATGTTTCACCAAAAAAATAAATTAGTGTGTTAGATGGCTGAAACTCCTTATTGACCGTTGCGAAATGAACTGTTCACTTCTCTTGAATTAGATTTGGGAAGTGCTCGCTTCTGTTGTGAATGTTAGAAGAATGCTGGCCTACAGATCGCTGGGTAATCAGTGCCAATTTGATCAACAGCGTTATCGAATGCCGTCGCCTTATCAAAACAAATGCATTCCTTTCGCAAACTTTGGTAACTGGCCGCATTCGACCATTTTGTCATATGATTCGAGGGCCCAGGCTGGAAGCTGTCAACGAGTTTGCTGGCAAAACGGATCAGATACTCAGGAAGTTACTCATGATTTTTCCGTGAGAAATCCTCAGCAACTTTCTAAGGTATCTCCTCGAAATTGTGATTGCAAGCCTTCCGGAAACTACAACTTCGGGCAGTCATGTCCTGGGCAATTTACCAAGGAAGCTCCTCTACAATTTGCCCAGCAATCTCGTCAAATATTTCCCCAGCTATCTCCACATCAATTTATTCAGCAATCCCCTCAACAAATTACCCATGATGCGCGACAGCAATTTCTCCTGGAATCTTGTCAGCCATTTCCCGAGGAATCTTGTTCACAGCGATCTTCTCGGAAGTGCTACTTCCAGTTGCCCCCTCAAAACTGTTGCCAACTAGCTCCGCCAAACTGTTTTCAGCTTATTCCACGAATTTGTTTTCAAGGAATATGCGAAGACAATGGCCCCAGTAAATGCCCGAAAAGGTGCAGCTTCACTATTACCCACGAAATGGGCGTTCAAACGGATGAGATGGAGTGTGAGGTCACTAAGGTCCAGAGTCCAAAGCCAGAGGAGCCCGAAATCCTCGCGGTCACCGAGCTTACGACGGAGGAGCTGGAGGTGAAACATCGCACCGGAAAAAGGGATATCATCGTCAAAGAGATCCAGTCCGTCACCCGTTTCCCAAACGATGGCTCGGATGCCGTCACCGAAGTCGAGACTCGGAATAATATCAAACAGGTATCCCGTTCGGGTAAGAAGCTCAGGGAGGAAACCCAGAAAACAAAGACCAGTCGGGGCAATAGCAGAAAGGAAGATGTCATAACCGACCGGGTCATTAGACAGTCAGAGTTGGATCCAATAGTTGAATCTTTTAAGGCGGAAACTGGTAACAAACCAGATAGTTCCCAAGAAGAGCAGCTGATCTACGAGAAGTATGAAACATTTGAGCGTGACTTTAATACCCCGCAACACCCTCCCCGCTCGCCCATTTCCCACTCACCTTTGGAAGACACAAGCCGCTCAGAATCCGGCAAGGATATGTTCTCCCCAAACGAGGAAAGAAGGTAGGGCTCTAAAAATAGCTATTATTGTAAATTATGTAAGATTATTTAGACTATTGCAGAGCGTATTGTATTTTCAGTCAAAAGCTTGCAACGTTTCATCTTGAGTAGTCTGTCTGTTTTTACGCAAACTGGTCTCTAAGGTAGTATTATAAATAAAGTCGTGTTAAGAAATATTTCATTTTTTTAACAGTTGCAAGGGTGTATTAACTTCGGCTTGACAAAGTTTGCATTTTTTTGTTTTAGAATATCACCTTTTGTTCGATGATTCGAAAATGGCTTCTTCTCTTGTTTTAATATAATTTGTATGTGTACTGAATTCCGGAGGAGGTTGGAGTTTTGAGGTTGGTCTTGTTTAAACGTTTTCAAATTATCTTTTTTTAAAATCGTATATATAAATACATAAATGTGTTATTCTTTAGAATTATAAAGTGATCCACCTCTCTTACAAATGTCTTACATAATTCAGCGAGCACTGTATCTGATACATAACTCCTTTTTTAGCAAGAGTTTTGTCCTGTTAAGTAGTGTCAGTTCGGTGGATAAAATAAAGAAGAAGAAACCCAAGGTGCCAAAAGTGAGAAAAAAAAGGTCATCTGAGTACGACAACGTGAGCACTTTACGCTTGAGAGTTACTAAAAGAAAGGAGCAATCCGTAAAGCGGCCCAATGCCAGAGAATCGCAAAAAAATGTGACATCGGTCTACGAGAGCACAGTTACCCAGATGATTGTCAAGAAACCAAAACCAAAGAAGTCAGAGCCAACGAATCCAGAGCCGGAGAAAAAGAAGCCAAGGAAACCGGAAAAGAAGTGGCCGAAACCCAAGCATCCACCCGAAACGGGCATGAAACATGGCTTTCCCTCCAATGACTTGGTCTGCAGATATGAAAACCCCCCAAAGTGCAGACCCAATGCCAATACCACCAGCTTCAGATGTCCACGTCCGCCGTCCTCCTGTCGCAGCCAATGCCCCATGCCTCCTGCCAGCACCACACAATACGATCCCATCTACGGTTTTGGCAGCCATTGTGTCGCTTACTATCGTTGTTAAAACAGAAAATATATCATACATAGCAATAAATCATTAACTTAAAATTCAGAAACTGCGAATGAATCAAATATTCTTAATTAGAAAGATTTTTAAAGTCAGCTTTTAATCAACAATGAATAAGTCCCAAAATATCCGACCATCGAGATAATGGTCAGATTAGTTTATGAATTGTCCCAACTAGACCTTAAAAAAGTAACACTTTGGTTCTATTTCTTGTCCATACTACACACACATGGTGTAAAGGTAATTTAAACAAACAATTCAACAAGTCTTCAGGCATAAGTTTTTTATTGATAAGTTGTGACAGTTTAAAACTGCCAGTCATACTGAACAGCTTGTAACCTATAATATTAACTTGACAAATTAATTTTGAAATAAATGTATTACGTGTTTTAGAAACGTAAATCTGTCATTAAGGGTTCTAAAAAATAGAAAACATGGAGATGTGTGGCAACGTTTGCATAAAATCAACACTCGCAAAATATTGAACAAATCGAATCAGTTGGGGTTTTTGGGGTTTGGAACGGAGCAAATTCATAAGCCTAGCTTTTAAGTGAATTTGCCCATTTGAGTCTTTATCCAGTCGAATGCTTTGGTTTTGAAATTAGTTGCATGGCCCTTTTACGAATGGACAAAAGTGCAAATCCTGGTAAAATAAATTTGCGGTCAACGAAGCCACAGATCGTTAATGAAACACTCTCCGAACTGGATTTGGGCATTCAATTGCAGTTTATGGTCGAATTCGGTCTGCAATCTCTTGTCTGCTCGAGTACCACAGGGCAGGGCAATAACTATAATTGGGCCCTCAATGATCGAATGATTATAATATTCTGTTGGCCTACACAATTGCCTGCCCAGGATGTCAAGTCAGAACTTCTAATTAAATTTCAATATGCTCGCATCCAAGGAGCTATATTTTCATATCTTGTTTTGTTGAAGCAGGTAAATATCTACTGGCTCCCGTTTAGTTAGTTATTTCCTAAGTTTGTCAACGGGGGGAAATTGAATATTTTATCAACGGATATTAAGTGCCGGAGATGTAGCCACAGCTGAAACGTGCCGAGTTCTTAGACTCCTTGCAGAGTGTTCGATAAAATGTTTGCCATTTAATTTTTATTTGACCCTTTGATTGGCTGGGTCAGGAATAATTTAGCCATTTGCGCCCAAGTAAATAAAACAAAACTAAACAATGCCAACCAGCAGAAGTAGCAAAATCTCAGGCCCCACAACAACGGATGTTCACTTTTGGCCACTAAAAGTTCTCTTTTCCACCTCTGCCTCGGGCCGTCATTTTATTTCGTTTCATGTTTTATTCACCACTTCCGCCGGAAATAGACATACGGTAGTGTATATGTATGTGTGAGAGTGTGTGTGTGTGTTGGCCTAAACATTTGTCTCGTTTGGCAATCCGATGGATAGATGGCATGGATTTTTTCGGGGGAAAACGGCGTTTGGGCAGCCCAACAAAGTAGAAACTGTTTTCGCAAACAAATCCCACATAAATGCTCAATTTATAACAGACCGGAAGTTAAACTTAATCAAGCGTACTTTTTGGCTTATTGTTTAGTTTTCCCCCGGTTCTCCTATCGTATTTACTTAACATATTTTATTGCGATATTTCCCTCTGTTTTCTCTCTATTTTTCCGAGGATTACACGGGGATTTTGTGTGCCCAAATGCTCCGGCATATCATCATCCATCCGCCGTGTGTGCCCTGAAATCCTCGCTCCACTTGCAGCATTCGCAGCATTTATTCATACTCCAACTCTATTGTCGCAGGTTTATTCCGTTTCGTTCATTTCATACATATTTCGTTTGATAAATCTACGCCATCAAACATGAATGGGCATGGAATTTTTTGTCTTCTGAATAGTTAAAACGCTCGTAGGCATCAAACTGAAACGGTTTTATCATGGATTTTCATAGTCATGATGATAAATGTACTTCTTTAAGAATTGTGTAAAATTCATAAGTTATTTATGCGTTTTTCTCTCTAGTTTTCATCTAATAAATTATAAAGTTCGCAAAAGTTTTAGCAGTACAACATTTTTTCAAGGCAATCGTATGTTTTTGTTCATATTTCACACTTCTGAAATGTTAATCTTTCAAGCTGTTCTCTAATTAATATATCGCCTTAAACATCATAGTTTTGCTTTGCACTGCTAAGACAATTATTTTTTTATTTTGTATGAAGAAATTTTAAATTTAATTAAAGCAAATTTACATTGTAAATAAAACAACCGTTGGTTTTATGCTTATATTTGCATCTTTAATGGAAATTTTTGGCTAATGAACACAGGTTTTAGATTATATTAATTTCAGTCAATATGTAATTTAATGCTTATAGATATTAATGCAAAGTACCCAACTCCTTATTGATTAATAATCGAACATTATCACAAATGAATTAAATGAATTTTTAGGTAACTTAAAACTTCAAATAAATTTTCATGAAATTTCAAATGTTTTGAGGCAACTGTACTTCTAATGCCTTGATTTGACTAATACTTCCGGGGTTGCCTGTGTAATAGATTTTTATTTAATTATCCCGAAAACATTTGCATATTTTTCAGCCTGCACTGTTGAATCGAAATCAATTGGCAAGCAATTAAGCCGATGCCGGAGACGGTGGGTGGATGCTCTATTTGAGTTTCCTGCTGGGCGTGTCTGTCTTGTCTCCCCATTTGGCATTGTTTGTGTTCCTTCGTCGGGAAGGGATAAACCAACGCCTGGGCAAACAAATGCGGGTGGGCCATGTGGGTGGAGGTGGCCAAAGGTGAATGGAAGCTCAATTCGTAGGGCACTCTGCATTTGCTAATGCACTCGATAATTGCATGCTGTTGAATCAATATACACACCGCTCCTGCGGGATTAAAGCACAGGATGTAGGGTCCGGCTCCTGGTCTCGAGCGGATTGATTTCCCCCGTATGCTGGCTCAATTAGAACCTTATTGTTGTTTTGCCAAAATGATAAAATACAGTGCAAAAACAATCGCATTGAAAGTTAACAGTACCAAATCGAAGTTCAGACTCCGACTATTAGATAACAGTTACTCTGTTAACCAATTTGAAGACAAATTTACATCCGCCAGGTGGCGCCAGCAATTCCATTCTTCAAACAATAAAACGACAGCGTCATCTGTTGTGAAAATCACACATGAAGACATTTCCGATTCGAAATAATTGTATAGTTTTGAACATTTTTTGGGTGTCGATTTAGAGTTTAAAGTTAGTGCGACCAAATTGTGAAAAAAACTTGGGTTGCGTATTCAAAAATTCGGAATCATGGTAGTGATTTTGATTCCAAAACGTAGACGTTTATAGAAACATCCTGATCAAGAACATATAGATATAAATATCAAAAATACTTATTTTACATAAAAGTTCTGTTTTATATAATTATATACACTTAACGATCATTTTTAGTTTTTGTAAGCCGTCTTGATGTCATGTGATGGCTTATACATTTACAAAATGTAATCCCTATTTTTGACATTGTAAAAAAACTATATATTTTATAAATTCATATTATTTAATGTATTAAATTCCTCGTTTTCTTTTATTTTACTTTATAAAAAAACAATTTTTTGTGAGTGAAAGCATACCAAATGCAGGACTAATTGAAGTGGCAAGTGCCTATCATTCAATGCTCACTCTGAGCAATAAATGTCAAGTGCTTGAATACACTTGTATTCCGTTCAGTTTGAATATTCCGGCACCTTCTTTTGACAAAATTCTAACCAAATTAAACTATGGAATGATGAAGATACACCGGCTGCTGATGAACAAGTGCTCCTGCTACGGTCATGTGCTGCAGCGATCGAAGCGGGTACCCAGGCGGAGTGCCATCTCCTCGAGACACAACCTGACTGCTCCCATCCAGGTGCGCCATGGCTTCCAGAGTCCGCGGCAAATTGTGCCGCAGGATGGAGCTAAGCCCACGCACCAGGCTGAGGGCAAGAAACTGGACATTGAGCTGGATTTTTTCGTGGCCAAAGACGAGCCGCAGACGATGTCCCTGCACTCAATGATTTACTTTTACAGTCCACTGAGTCGCCTGATCACCAAGTTGGCCCTGCTCCGGCTAAAGTTGCTGTGGGATTGGGAGTTCTCCGAGAGTCACTTCATGGAGAATTCGCGCCAGGCGGCTGCAGTTTTCACCGACTTCGTAAGACGCCGCCGCAACCGGAATGTGGAGCGATGCAGTACGCCCATGGGCTTCAAGCAGATCAAGCACGATCTGCTGGACGATCCGCCCGACTGGAGGCTCACTCTGATGCGCTTCGAGAAGGTCCACTTCCGGAGAGCCATTCCGCTAAAGGTGCAGTTGCTGCGCCATTACGATCATAGGTTCGCCTTCCTGGATGTGGTATTTGTGGCTCTGCGGCGGTCCAACGATTTTCGGTCGCCGGCCGAACTCCATGAGATGGCTGAGCTGTTGGAGCAGTATGTGGATCCTTCGCAGTTGCGCGTGCCGCACCCACTGATCTTCGCCGAGATCTTTATGCGCTTCCGGCGTGACTATTCCGTGGAGCCCACGAAAATGGGCAACGTGCGGACCAACAACCGATGCATGGGCCAGTGGCTGATCTCCACCTACAAGGTGGTCCGCTTCGACATCCTCAACGACCACCCCCTGTTCGACATTCCCCAGTTTGAGGAGTGGATGCCACCGGTTATGCCCAGGATGGGCCGCACCGTTGAATAAAAATCCGATTCGCATTAATGTCAGTTTTTTAACTTATTAGATAATATTATGAGAATTTAATAATATTCTGGTATGATATTGTAAAATAATTACGCCAACTCGTCCACATCTAAATGACAATGTAATAAAACTGGAAAACTGGATATTACCAAATTAATGTAATGCTCTAACTATTTAAGCCAAAATAGTTAAAAAAATTGAAGCCATTTTTAGCAGCCATTTTTTAAATGTTATCGGGGCAACGGGGGTATTGGCTTGTTTATTTAACTACAACTTTGCCGTATAAAAATTTGTTT